GACGAGCGAGCGGTGTATGCTACTGATGTGATTCGAGGATGTGTACTCGAGATCTTCAGGGTTGAGTTCCCGATTGACCTAGTACCGATTGCGATGGGTGATGTCTGTGTCATCGTGGGCATGGACTGGTTGAGCCGATTCGGAGCTGTTAGCGACTGCGAGCGTCAGATGGTGACGATACGAGACCCTAGTGGGGGAGTGCTGATAGTGTATGGCGAGGGTACCTGAATTGGGTCAGCATTTTGTTCGGCTGCCAGAGAGAGACAGAGCCTATTGCAGGGCTGTAGAGGGTTTGTAGCCTATGTGATGGATACGCGAGCGGCCACAGGGAGGCCGAGTACAGTTGATGATGTTCCGATAGTACGTGAGTTCCCGGATGTTTTTCCCGAGGAGTTGTCGGGTGTGCCTCCCGAGAGGCAGGTGGAGTTCCGCATCGATTAGGTTCCGGGGGCAGCGCCTATCGCCAAGGCGCCTTATCGCCTTGCACCGCCAGAGATGCAGGAGTTATCCTCGCAGCTTCAGGAGCTGCTGGGGAAGGGGTTTATTCGACCGAGTAGCTCGCTGTGGGGAGCGCCGATCCTTTTTGTCAAGAAAAAGGATGGTTCACACCGGATGTGCATTGATTACCGGGAGTTGAACAAATTAACGGTTAAGAACCGTTATCCATTACCGAGGATCGACGATCTGTTCGATCAGTTGCAGGGTGCGTCTTGGTTTTCCAAGATAGACTTGAGGTCTGGATATCACCAGATGAGGGTGCGTGATGAGGATATCCAGAAGACAACATTTAGGACTCGTTATGGGCATTACGAGTTCGTGGTGATGCCTTTTGGGCTCACCAATGCACCCGCGGCGTTCATGGACCTCATGAACCGAGTATACAGGCCGATGTTGGATCGATCGGTGATTGTGTTCATCGACGACATTTTAGTGTATTCCAGGACCAGAGAGCAGCATGAGGAGCACCTGAGGGAGATCCTCGGAGTATTGAGATCGGAGAGGCTTTATGCCAAATTCTCCAAGTGTGATTTCTGGTTACGTGAGGTCCAGTTCTTGGGACATCTCGTTAATCAGAATGGGATATTGGTCGATCCGGCCAAGATTGAGGCGGTCATGAGTTGGGAGGTGCCGAGATCCCCCACCGAGATCAGGAGTTTTCTGGGGTTGGCCGGCTACTATCGGAGATTTATTCGGGATTTCTCCAAGATTGTCGTTCCCCTCACCAGATTGACCCGGAAGGGCGCTGTTTTTGCTTGGGGTCCAGAGCAACAGACCTCGTTTGAGACTCTTCGCCAGAGGTTATGCGAAGCCCCGGTGTTAGCTCTTCCGGAGGGAGTGGAGGATTTCGTGGTGTATTGTGATGCGTCTATATCGGGGTTGGGTGCGGTGCTTATGCAGAGAGGGCACGTGATAGCATACGCATCGAGGCAGCTGAAGCCTCATGAGACGAGGTATCCCACCCACGATTTGGAGTTGGGGGCGGTGGTGTTCGCTCTCTAGATATGGCACCGTTATTTGTATGGGGTTCGGTGTACCATATACACGGGCCACAAGAGTTTGAAGTATCTGATGGATCAGCCCAACCTGAACATACGTCAGAGGAGATGGTTGGATGTGGTAAAGGATTATGATTGTGAAATCCTGTACCACCCGGGCAAGGCTAATGTAGTAGCCGATGCTCTGAGCCGTAGGGCGGAGAGTGCCCCGATTCGAGACATATGTATGAGGATGACGGTGATGACTCCGGTGTTGGATACTATTCGTGAGGCCCAGGCAGAGGCTGTGAGACCGGAGAACCGCAAACGGGAGCGGGTGATTGGACAGGTGTCTGAGTTTGTGACGGATAACAGAGGGCTCATGACCTTTCGTGGTCGGATTTGGGTGCCGTATACGGGCGAGGCACGTAGCACCTTGATGGAGGAGGCGCATAGATCGAGATTCTCGATCCATCTCGGGGCCACGAAGATGTATTTGGACCTGAAGAGAGATTATTGGTGGCCCTGTATGAAGAGGGATGTTGCATGGGTAGTAGAGAGGTGCTTGACCTGTCGCCGGGTTAAGGCCGAGCACCAGCGTCCGCATGGCAAGTTGCAGCCGTTACAGGTTCCCCAGTGGCAGTGGGAACATATTTCTGTGGATTTTATCACCAAATTGCCTTGGAAAGGAGTGATCCGATTCAGGAACAGGGGCAAGCTGGGGCCCCGATACATTGGTCCTTTCAGGGGGATCGCGAGGGTGGGTAAGGTAGCATATCGTCTGGCGCTACCCGCGGAGTTGAGTCAGATCCATGATACCTTCCATGTATCCCACGGCAGTAGTGCCTCTAGAGGATATTCAGGTAGACGCGAGCCTGCATTTCATTGAGAGGCCGATCGCGATCTTGGATCGGAAGGTCAAGGTTCTGAGGAACAAGGAGGTGCCCCTGGTTCAGGTCCAGTGGCAACATCGGAGAGGGTCCGAGCTGACTTGGGAACCGGAGTCGGAGATGCGGGAGCAGCATCCAGAGTTGTTTGCAGAGCGAGACTTCGAGGGCGAAGTCTGATTCTAGTGGGGGAGAATTGTAACATTCGGATTTTCAGGTATGTTATTTTGAATTAATTATTTTGAGGATCATTGATCTACTCGACGAGTTGGCGCTATAACTCGTCGAGTAGAAGCGGGATGGCCACGTGAGTTTAATGAACTACTCGACGAGTCCAACAGTAGACTCGCCGAGTAGGCGCTGTAAGTGGAAACCCTAGATCCCCGGGTTTGGGACCTATTTAAAGGCACTTATAGCCTCATTTGCGGCCACATCTCTCTGAGAAGAAACCCCAAACGCCCCTTGAGCTTGTGAGAGAGTCTTGAGATTTTGAGTGCATTTTGGTGTGATTTTACAAAAGGAAAAGAAGGGTTCCAGCAAGGAGGACTAGAGGAGGGTGCCATTCTGAGATCTTGGAGCAAGGAGCTTCACTTTGAGGTAACAAATCGACCCTCTCTTTCTGTATGGTGTAGATTTCATGAATCTAGGGTTTCTTAACCCTTGTCTTCAAAGGATTTTGGAGTATTTGAAGTCCCTTTGTGGAATAAGCATTAGATCTGGACCTTAAGAGGTCCAGAGAGTCCCAAACATCCAGCTTTATGCATTTCCAATGGAGTTTTGAACCTAGGTTGCCATTTTAGGAGCTATTTCACCATAAGAAGTCCTAGGAGTATTGCATGAGCGTAAAGGTTGGACCTTTACGTAATTATTGGGCACTAGAAGGTCATATCTATAGGTTAGAGAAGCAGATCTGACCTCAGAATGTCATTTGAGTAATCTCATGGACGAAACTCGCCGAGTCCATGAGCGGACTCGACGAGTCGGATCGTGTTGCACCACGATTCGTGATCAGTGGTAACCATTGAGTGAAAGGTTGACTCGACGAGTCGAGTGAGGCCTTAGAGGATTCGGAGGACATGCATGGACTCGCCGAGTCACCCGAGTGCACTCGGCGAGTCTGGTCAAAGTTGGACCGTTGACTGGGGTTGACTTTTAGGGTTTAGTCAACATTTGGGCATTGGACCATTGGAGGGGTAAAATGGTCTTTTCCCATTCTGAGAGAATATAGGGAGGGATTATTCTAGCCTTTGAGAGCCGTATTAATTAGAGATAATTACTTTATGTGATTAGGCGGAGGCTAGAGCAGATATTCGAGTTCGAGACTTTCCGAGATTTCCTGAGGTGAGTCTTCTCACTATACATTACCATGAGTGGTATCTATGTGCAGACCGGAGGGTCTTATGTGTTATGTGTATGTTTGAGTTTATGTGAATTGTGTTATATGTATGCTATGTGTTATATAGACCGGACCGGAGGGTCCAACAATTTAGACTGGACCGGAGGGTCCAACGAGCTAGACCGGACTGGAGAGTCCAACGAGCTACGGGACTGGAGGGTCCCGCTGAGACACATTGACCAGAGGGTCATACCGAGTTATAGCCTCGAGTGGCTTATGTGTTGTATGTGGTATATTGGGGAACTCACTAAGCATTTATGCTTACCGTGTTATGTGATATGTGTTTCAGGTACCAGCGAGGATCGCGGGAAGGCGCCGACATGATTTGTACACACTGGCAGAGGATTTTGTTTTGAGATTATGGGATATGTTTTATTATGATGACATTGGATCATGAGATTCTGGGAATATTATATATGTTTTTATTATGTTGAAAAATGAAAAATTGTTTTAAATTTTACGTTGTTACAGATTGTATGTATTGTTAGATTATATTTTGAATAATATGTAATGTGTGAATGTGGGAACCAGAGTGTATTTGATCAAGATATTGAATGATGAAGATTACCAGTGGCATGATTGTAAATATAGAAGAAAATAATAAAGACTTTTGTTAGTGAAATGGTTTTAGAGGGTAACATAAATATTTTGTTTAAAATGAAAAAAAGATTTGATGGATATATAAGGCTACACCACCTTGTTACCTGGTAAATGATTATAATCAGGAAAATATGAGATATAAATTATCACAAAAGAATACATCAATATAAATTGTGGGTAAATGTAAATAATTCTTAAAAGGGTTATTGACATAACAGCGCATGAAAGTTTTACGTTTGGTTTTAAATGACCATTTAACTTTCTTTTGTACCTGTTAAACCATTAAACTCGAAAATTACCTGTCTAAAACACCATTTTGCTTAAAACTATCAGGTTTCTAGGTTACATTTGCTGATGTGTACATTGACTTCTTATAGTTAAAGGTTTCCATAGCCACGTGGATGCCCACATGGACTTTGACATTGAAGAACCATCGTCTATCTCACCACCACCTTCCGCTTCCTCCCACTACCACCGCCGCCATCCATTCAATGCAAAATAAAGATGAAAGGGCATGTACTTTTCAAGGTTTGGCCATGGATGCCATCGATCATGTTGTAGGTAACCCCACCCTTCCCTAACACATCATACTTGTCAATTTAATCTGATTAAATCGATTTTCTGCACGGAAGCATAATCAATTTACATCAATTTAGTAGTAAAGATGTGATTTATAACCAAATTGATTTGGCGAGAGCAATCACTGTGTCGATATCGTTCAACCAGTTCAGATACTTCTTCATCCGATAATGGACTCCCAAGAACAACATTTCTCTCTTCTTCTACCTTGGCGATGTTGATAGTCTGCTGCAACGGAGCCACCATGCCAGTCCATGCCCGTTCAAGTCGACCCGGTCCAAAATGAGAGAATTTTGGGGTTTCTCGATACCCAATGGGTTCGACGGAAGGGTTGGTCTCGGAATACGAGTACCTTAAATCAAAGGGTAAAATTGGTTTTATAGAAAATTCGTTCCGGGGTTTATTGTTCGATGCATTTCCTTTTAGCTTCTTGTTGTTTTGATTTTGGGGGTTTATAGTTTTGAGGATTGGGAAAAAATGTGGGTCGTCTTCAAAATGAAATTTTGTTAGATGATAGAATATAAAGAGGATTGGTGGTCTGTTTTGGTTGTGGAGGTCATGTCGCCGCCGGGAAAAAAGCTTTAGCATTTGTAGGTGAGAGGAAGAAGAGTTTTGTTCGGCTATCAGGGTTTAAGGTTTAGTGGTGAATTTACCGGCATCGTGTTACCAATTTACCTTTTTTTCTCAAATGTATTTAAGTAACTAATATATTGAATTTAGAAACTTATTGATCATTTATATAATGATTTTGCACTGGATGGATGGTGGCAGTGGTAGTGGGAGGAAACAGAAGGTGGTGGTGGTGGTGATATTGATGATGGTTCTTCAATGTCAAACTCTACGTGGGCATCCACATGGCTATGGAAACATCTGACTATAAGAAGTCAATGTACACATAAGCAAATGGAACCTGAAAACCTGATAATTTTAAGCAACATGTTGTTTTAGAAGGGTAGTTTTCGATTTTAATGGTTTGACAGATACAAAAGAAAGTTAAATGGTCATTTAAAACCAAACGTAAAACTTTCATGTGTTGTTATGTCAACAACCCTTCTCAAAATCAAAGACATTTTTTTAGAACGACAAACACACATCAATTAATTCTACTTCTAATTCTATATATTTTGTCAACCATCATACTTGAACCATTGACCGCTTAAGGGATGAATATCTTTCCAATACACCTAGCTGATACCACTAAGATACACGCTTTTTGGTCAAAATCAAAGACCTTTATTCCATCAATTCTCAGAAAATATAAACCATTCTTGCGAGAAGAGAGATATGGATCATACATGAAAGTGAACATATACAATATAAAAGAAATGATTTGTGCAAGTCTTCCTTCTTTTTTTAAAAAATGAATAATCATATATTGCATCTTTTTCGTTCTTAATCCTGCACAATTTTTGAAGAAAAAAGTTCTGATTTTTTTTACAACTTATGATAAAGTTTAAGACAGAATACAATTTATTTAAATTTTCAAATTTTCATATATGTAACATAGATTTTCATATGCTTGATTTTTGTAAATAATAAACAAATGTTAATTTTAAAAAAAAATCATTCAATTGCTAATAATCGATTTTTAAGGTTCCTAATTTTTCATGTTCAAATAAGACGAAATTATCATTTTTATATTTTGGAGGAAAAAAACCAACATGAGACATGTTTCCTAGGAAACAACAAGACTTACAAGAGTAACAATATCATAAGTATTTACAAATTACAAGCTTAAATTTGGATATTTACCGCTGGACCAAGCCGGCCCAAGTTTATTGGGTTTCTGATGGTCCAAAGGCCAAACAGTTTCTAACAACGGATCAAACAAAATATTGCCGTCCCAATTGTTTATTTCCAACGTTCTTTTCTTTTATTAAATTTATATCTAATAATATAAAATCAAACAAATATTATTTGCTTAGTTTGCTAATGATTAATATCTATTATTAATTATTGTTTCGAAAGTAACATACTTTCAGTCCATGTTATATTGTTAGAAAAATTTAATATTCAAAAAGATAATTTGATAATTTGAAGATAAATTCATAAAACACACATTCAACACTCATTTTCTTTCCTAAAATACTAATCAAATGAAATTACTTTTTAATTTATGTATATACATGTAATGTGCCAATGAAGATTTTTAAGACTTTATAGTGTATAAAAAGACCAATTTTAGACAAATATTACAAACACAACGGTCAAATAACTTTGTTCATTTCAAACTTAAATTGCGGTCACGACAACCTACGAAATTACACGTTTTCGTCATTACTAATGATATTTAGGTCTTTAATATTTAAAAAATAACAACAATTTTATTATTATTCAGTCAACATTATGTTTAAAACAATCATTTCGATCTCTCCTAAGTATGAAAGTTACATGTCCAAGGTGATGGAGTATATATTTACCTTCAAAACTCACTAAGATGTCATATTTGGTATTCACTAGTGAATAAATATTCTACAACGTGTTAATTTGTAAACATATATAATCAATCAAAGTTGTATATAAATTTTAATAAAATTAACAAAAGAAATTTTTGGTTTTTCTCTACACAACAACATAACTATAATTATTTATATTATAAAGCATCAGAGCACCGTGCTCCTAGAGTTGTGGGTTTTTCTCTACGTACACTGTACACAACAAAAGGCCTTTTTATGTGGTTAAAGCTAAAAACAAAAAAGAATAATAATTATTAATCCAAATTTGGAAACAACATTATTTTAATTTTGTCTCAAAAGATGATTCCAAACCAACTCGCTAATTATGTTTTTCCACGACTTATTCCTAAATCATTAGAAAGGGCTTTATAACGTTTTATTACTTAAGAGTTTCGATGTGTCTTATTATGTAAAAAAAAAAGTTCTTGCTAAATTCTAATATGATATTATTTATTTCAAAAATAACAAAGAAAACATGCAAGTATGCAAACATATCTTCTAATTTTTTCAACTTCATACATACTTTATATGTGACAAACAATTTTTGCGTATGCCATATATTACTTAGGCAAGTGCATGGTGTTAACTTAGAGCAATAATTCAAAATTATATAGTTAAATTATTGATTGATTAGAGCTATACGTTTTATATTGGAATATGTTTAAATGAATCAAACTTTCAAAAGCATTATATTGAAGGGTTCTAATTATTATTATTATTAGTTCTTGAAAGTATATTTCATACGTCAATTATCTTAAAAAGAATAAAGTATAAACAAATAATTGTTCATGAGCCGATCATATTAAGGTGTACTTGTTGTTGGATAATTATGGGACAACTTCATAAATATGTACGCTATATTATTAAATCCAATTATTATGGTAAGAATATAAATTGTTGATGGACCGATTTATAGAATATTAACTTACCTTGTGGGTTGAGTTCCCGGTTTGACTCAAGATCCTCAAGATCCCTTCCATCTCTCACATTAGGGTATATCTCCATCTATATATACATGTGATGAGGAGCAATGAAGACACACGCAAATACACATGTAAATTCGTTTAGGGTATGCTGAGGGATTTTAGAAAGAACTCTTGAGATCAACTGGAAAACTCAACCCTAGTTCTCTAGATCCGAAGATCATAATGAAATCAGGTATGTAATCGTTCTTTAATGTTCAAGTTTTCTTTTAATCAGATTCGAGATTAAAGATCCAAAGTTTATGCTTCCATGTTTTAGTTATCAAAATATCAAACAATTGGTATCAGAGACTACTCGAATCTGTTACTAGAAAATATTGTTATTTGATTGGTTTAAGATCGGTGATAATTTTTTTTAAGATCCTTAAATTATTTTTCATAATTAAACATACTTGTTTCTCTTACTGTTTCTTCGTATCGTCAAGATTGCTTATTATTATTATTGTTATTTTTATTTGGTTTCATTAGGCTACTCGGAGTGGGCAACGCCCACTCCCGTTATTATGCCTAATAACACCAATGAACACCGCCCCCTCCCATGTTATTCCATGTTAAAAGCATCCCCGTTGCTTCCCGTTACCATCATAACACCTAATAACGCAATTTCCTTCTTTTTCTCCTAGTAACGCATGTGGGGCGTTGCCCAAACCCACCACTCTTACAAATAAGTTTTCTTGACAAGTAACGAGGGAAAGAATGAGTGAGATTTTGACTCTTGTTTTCTTTCGGATTCAAGTACCCGTATGTATGAATGAATACATGCATGTCAGGAAGGGGTTTTCTTCCCAAAGCAACTTTTGTTTTGTTTTTTTTTTTTATGTGACTTTGACTACAAAAGATTAGCTATTGGGTATTAGCTATTACACAAAATTCATTCATGCTATTATTAGTTTAATATATATATATATATATATATATATATATATATATATATATATATATATATATTTTATTCATAGTTGGATTTAAGTCTTATCCTTGCGCTGTACAAATGAATCGAAAATATGAAAATTATTAAAACAGTATAATTTGTGTGTAAAGTAAATTGGGTAACAATACTAGTAGCCACCCTATTCGGCTATACCCATTTAAAGGTACGAGACCCATATTTTTGCTTATTTATTATTATTGTTGTGTAGCATTGTTGTAAAGGGGTTTAATGAGATTTAAATACAAATTAAGATTCACTTGACTACTTCACTTCTGGAGTTTCAGTAATAATGTCAAAGGTTTGTGGTTTTATTTGATTAAAAGGTTTTATGATTATTAAAGTCTAATAAAAAAACCACAGGCAATAGTCACCATATAAATGGGTTTTATAACGTATCTAAAAATTTTTAGATACTCACAATATATATTTTTTAAATTTGTGGACTATAAAACCCAATTTTTTTTTTTGGATTGATGTAAATCTTGAGCATGATAAAACCCAATATTTACTGTCGATATTTTTGTTATAGCAAATCTTCGTATAATTGATAATGTTGATTGTTGCTATTATTTAGTTATCGGTTGAAATATCATTGCCATTTTTTCTTCTTATAAATTTCTTCATATTTTTTATGGAATACTTGAACCTTTTGGCTTATAGATATTTTTTTGGTGATCGATATAATATTGTTACTCAAGAAACCTCTTATTTTTAATCAATTTTGTTATATGATATTTGCTTATGTGAATTGTGTTCCACCTAAAGGTATACCTTATACACAATGTCACACTTTGACAAATATTTCAGGTTGTCAATAAACTACAATTATGACATGTTTATTTATTTTCAGAGTAAATTAATTGACACAATACATCACCAAAGTGATCTCTTTTGTGAAAATAAATTTATAAAGAACTTAAATTTTATGGTTTGTGTTTATTAATGCAGATATTAATCGACCCAAAGGTAGGTTAATATTTGGCCGGATAAATACATGTTTGATGATAAATATGCGACAATTTTTAAGTTACATGTCATTAATAAGTCAATCTAAAAAAAGAGATTATTAATTGACATGCTATATTGTCAATTCTTATTATCAAACTTTATAGTTTATGTGTTTATTAATGGGGGTATTAGCCGACCCAAAGGTAGACTAATATTTGGTTGAATAAACATATATGTGGTGATAAACATGTGGTGATTTTTTTTTGTTCC